CTCTCTCTCACCCTCTCTCACTTTCTTTCCCAAGCTCTCTCTATTTTTCTCCCTCACTTTCTCTCTCCCTCTAGCTCCTTTTCGCCCTTCTCTCATTAATTCACAGAAGTAGTGTGTTTGTTTTAGTTTTAGTAAGGTTTTACGGCGCTCGCAACTGCATAAGGTCATATGAGCGCTAAGGGGTGGATGTCAAAAGAGAAGTCCAAACACGGAATCAGGCTTACTCTGCTCTACTCTTTACCTCAACAGCACAAAGTCTGCTTCGACTATCAAGGCACCCCTGAAATAGCAGTTCACAAGAGAGTGACAAACATACAAACGAAGTAGAGGACAAATGTCGATAGTAAGGACGAGGAAAGAAAAGGCAGCAGTCCCCCCCACCCCCCTTATGTTGTTCCGCACAGTATGAGCATGACATTGTTAAATCAGCCGATTTACAATTCTACTGTGCATAAGAACATGTTAATACCGCCCCCCTCCCCCCTTTGGGAATGGTCTAAAGACAACTTGAGTCAGTAGCACTGTCCTAGACGTAGGAGCGGCTAGAGGTGTTCATCACCCACTCACCGGCACCAGCTCGCGTCAACCTTTTGTTACTACAAAGACAGGACAGCCTCTGGTTACAGCCTAGCAATAATGTGACAAAACAGAGAACGGAGGGCGCCAACATTTCCAGGACATCCAACCCCTCCCCCCTCTCCCCTACAAAAAATACAAAATCCTCCTTTTCTTACACAATAATAAGGAAGATCGATCAGCTAAAATTTTTGTAGTTGCTGTTTTTTTCCTCGATAAAATCTGAGCTTAGCAGGATATCCCCATAGATTAAGGAAAGCGGGCCCAAAAACACAAAAATGTTCATAAAATGGGCCTGGGTTTAGCCAGCTCTATTTAGTACTTTTCTGAGATTATAACAGATTCACAAGGGCGACGGAAAAGTGTGACGTATATCATTATTAGTGTAGCTTGACAAGGTCATGCCGTGAAATTTCCTGCACCTTTATCTACATCTGTTCTATCCACACAATTATTTTGTTTGTACCTGGACCAGAGACAGGCAGCCACACCCCCCCCCCCACCTCCACCCCCACCAGGGCAGTGCTTACTATCGTCATTTTTTCTTCTATTTTTTGTATGTTTGTCACTTTCTTGTAAACTGAAGACTTTGTGCTGTTGAGGCTAAGGAGGTGAGCAAGAGTGAAGCCTTATTCCCCGTTTGGATTTCTCTGTTGAGATCCACCCCTTGGCGCTCATATGACGACTTTATTCAGTTGCGAGCTTCGTAAAAGCCTTACTAAAACTAGACAACCCTCTTCCACAAGCAAAAAACAACAACAACATCCTTCTTTTCTGACGCCATAATAAGAAAGATTGATCAGCAACCAGTTTTTTGTGTGTTTTTTGGGTTTGTTTGTTGGTTTTTTTCTCTCGAAAACATCTGAGCTTAGCACGACATCCCCACAGATTAAGGAAACCGAGTCTAAAAACACAAAATTGTTCATAAAATGGGCCTGGGTTTAGCCGGCTCTATTTACTGTTTTTCTGAGATTAAAACAAATTCACAAAGGCGACGGAAAAGTGAGGCGTGTATTTTATTAGTGTAGCTTGATCAGGTCATGCCGTGAAATTTCCTGCACTTTTATCTACATCTGTTCTATCCACACAATTATTTTGTTTGTACCTGGACCAGAGACAGGCAGCCACACCCCCCACCCTTCCAACCAGGGCAGTGCTTAATATCGTCATTTCCCTCTACTTTTTGGTATGTTTGCCACTTTCTTGTGAACCAATGACTGTGTGCTGTTGAGGCTAGAGAGGTGAGCAAGAGTATAACCTGATTCCACTTTTGGATTTCTCTATTGAGATCCACCCCTTGGCGCTCATATGACGACTTAATTCAGTTGCGAGCTTCGTAAAAGCCTTACTAAAACTAGACAACCCCCTTCCCACAAGCAAAAAACAACAACAACAATAACATCCTCCTTTTCTTACGCCATAATAAGGATGATTGATCAGCAACCAGTTGTTTTTTTGGGGTTTGTTTGTTGGTTTTTTTTCTCTCGAGAAAATCTGAGCTTAGCACGATATCCCCACAGATTAAGGAAACCGAGCATAAAAACACAAAATTGTTCATAAAATGGGTCTGGGTATAGCCAGCTCTATTTAGTATTTTTCTGAGATTAAAACAGATTTACAATGGCGACGGAAAAGTGAGGCGTGTATTTTATTAGCGTAGCTTGACCAGGTCATGCCGTGAAATTTCCTGCCCCTTTATCTACATTAATTTGTCTGTTCTATCCACATAGAGATGTTGTTGGTACTTGAACCAGAGACAGGCACGCACGTGCAAACATTATATTATTACACGCGTAGACTAGTTACTAAATTATGCAGAGAGAGAGAGAGAGAGAGAGAGAGAGAGAGAGAGAGAGAGAGAGAGAGA